TTCAATGAGGCTGCTTTTAGAGTATAGTAAAAAAAAAAAAAAAAAAAAAAAAAAAAAAAAAAAAAAACTACATATTTTAGTCTACCCTTTGTGATCCTTTAAAAAAATGTATTAAAAATGCATTGCCTGAATTAATTCTGTTGAGTACCAACTCTTACCTTTTACTGTATCTTAGCACATTAAATTTCCCATCCATCAAAACATGCTGGAGCTGATGCTCAGAAATAAAGTATGTACTCTTGGCTGGATTAAGACATTCATTATTCCACTCAGCTTGTCTGTTTGCTGAGGTTTTGGATAATTTTTTTTCCTGTGCTGCAGTTTAGTTTAGTGGCTAGACAAGTTCTGAGTCTTTGGATTTTTTTATCAATGCATCCAGTTTGGAAAGTTTCAGTGGATTCCAATTAAATGTTGGGTTAATATTTATTTTGGTCCTGGTACAACTTCAGATGGATTTAGGTTCACGATACTGTTCATGTATTTGCCAGGTCAGTCCCTTTCTTTAGACTTCAATGGGCTTATGTTTCTTCTATTTGTATTGAATATATCCTCTAAATCCTTTCTGCTCTTGACTTTTGGGTCTTAAAATTCAATTCCTTTATGTTGACTGATCAGGTATATGGCCTAACTTAACCCATGTGTTTGTATTTGGTGTGGATTTTGGACACCACCCTGGGGTGCTGTCATCCAAGAACCTTTCATGATACACATTTGATTGATGGAAATCACTGACTTCCCCCAAATGTGTCTTGACATTTTAGACATTGTATAATCTTTCCTAGCAGTTAACATGCATCTCAGTCCTCTAGTCTTTTAACAGTGACTCTGCTCTGAGAATAAAATTTTCTAAGTGACTGGAGAATTATGTCTTTGCACAAATTAGAAAGATAATCTTCAATTTTCAAGCAACTACTGTGAAATCAATAAATATTACCTATTTCACTTTTACATCCTCTGCCGGGGTTAAAATATAAGATGGCTGTCTTAGCTGATTGTTTTCCCTGTTAGCTACTAGAAAAGAACGATAATTTGAATTTTATGAATAAAAAAGACAAGAAACAATTTTTCCTAAGGAAGAACATTAGTTATTACTTTTCAGATATCTTCATTAAAATGATTATGTATTACAATAAATGTTAAGTATGGGTATATTATAAATAATACAATGATTAAAAAAACACTTTTGTGTCTTGAATCACAGTGAGTATGAAACTGAGATAGAATTGCCATCCTTTCCCTGTAAGATTATGAGCTCCTTGAGAGTAAGTCCCTGTGTTTTTTGTCTGCATCCCATTAACTGGCATAGTGCTTGGGACCTGGTAGGCACTGAGTAAATCACTGAGTTAATACATGAATAAATAAATGCCGGTTTTTAAAAAGATATACATTGAAAGTATACTATAGCAAATATTTAGTTAGCAGTGGTTTTGAGCAGTAAAATTCATAGCCGTAATTTAGAAATATAATAATTAGAAAACTGAGGTTAAGCTTTAAAAATCCTACTAGGAAATATTTAAGAAACTATAATATTGAAAAAAGAAAGCAGAAGTTTGAAGGAGATTTAGTTAGGTAAACGGAGAAAGGAAAGGGCATTCAAGCAGAATGAACAGAGTATGCAAAAACACAGACACATGAGATAGTTGGTACTCTCTAGCTGTGTGAACTTAGAAAAGTTACTTAACCTCTCTGTGCTGCAGTTTAGTCATCTCCAATATGGGGATTAAAATACCTCCTATTTCATAAAGTTCTTGTGAAGATTAAATGAGTGAATAGTTGTAAAGATGTTAAACCATGCTAAGCATAGAGTAAGCATATTAAAGAAGTAGCAATAATAATAATTACTATTATTACTGTTAAATATTATGGTAATTGTTGCTGTTATTTGGATGCTAAAATGCTTTAGTGAGACTGGAGCAGTGGGTACAAGGTGACTAGAAGAGAATAATGAAAGGACAGCTCTGGGGACAAAATGGGATCAGATGACAAAAGGCAAAAAGGCAGCCTTGTGATGCCATTGCGATGGGTGTAGACTTTCTTCTGAAGATGACAAAGGCGATGGCTTATGTGAAAGTAGGGCCACATCACCTCTTGCCTGATGTCATGTAGAGTGAAGGTGGGCAGGGAGGACATCTCACCTTCCCCTCAGTATTTTGAACAGCAGTGATAGTGTAATGTTCTGCCTCTGATGACTGCTCTATCAAATTACCAGCAGTATTTGTGTTCCAGAGGAGCCCCTGGATACATCCCATGCATTCCCTCCTATCTCCACAGTAGTTACTTGGAATGCACACTCTCACAATTCCACCTCATAAAATGACAGCAACTTGATTGACCAGAGTGTTAACTTTTGCAATCCTTCACGAGACTGCCCTTCCCAATTCACTACATCTAAGTTTTCAGACGAAGTCCAATTATGATTACAGTAGTCATAATAATAATTGTAGCTGCATTTAACTGAATAATCACATGTGACTGGCATTATGCCACTGATGTCACATAATTTTAAGTGTATTTCTGTAAATACACTGCCACACGACCTCATCTGGCATGGATCACTGCAGAATTATCTCAGCTGGCCTTTCTGCTAGCTTTATGTTTAGTGGCTTCTATATTTTATCTTCAGTTTGGCTTTTCTTTTTGTCAACTTATAATTGTTTTTAAATTTGGAGGCCAAATATATATTCCCTTCCTCGTGCGTCTTGGTTCCAACAAACTCCTGTCACTAGTACTTCTAATCCTCACTCAAAACCCCATTAGTCTTTTCACACCTGCTCTCCGAAGTCCTGACTTCTCAAAAGGAATTTAAATGTGGCAAGACAAAAAGACAGAGGTACTTTCATTTGTCTTAGATCTAAGAAAAGTATGTATAGGCATATCTTAGTATATTTGAATATTTCTTTTACGATATCTATGTATTTCTTTACCTTGTTTCACAATTTAGTGCATACTTCCACTTTTTTAAGAACAGGATATTGCTCTGTTCATCTTTATCCTGTGTCTAACATATGTTAGTTTGCTGGTATTACACACAATGTGGAATAAGTAGAATTTGCCCATTAGAAGTAATTACTACTTTATCAACATGGGACAAAAAATACTGGAAGATTATTCTCATTCTTCTGGTACTTTGTAAAGAATACATATAATAAGCATTTTGTAGTGGAAAAATAAATATAATTAATTTTTGAAGGCTTTTTTATTATACTTCTGGGATACATGTTCTGGGATACATGTGCAGAACGTGCAGGTTTGTTACATAGGCGCCATAGGTTGGTTATATACACATGCCATGGTGGTTTGCTGCACCCATCAGCCCGTCATCTACATTAGATATTTCTCCTAATGCTATCCCTCCCCTAGACCCTCACCCTGCGACAGGCCCTGGGGTGTGATGTTCCCCTCTCTGTGTCCATATGTTCTCATTGTTTAGCTCCACTTATGAGTGAGAACATGCAGTGTTTGGTTTTCTGTTCTTATGTTAGTGTGCTGAGAATGATGGTTTCCAGCTTCATCTATGTCTCTGAAAAGGAAATGAACTCATCCTGCTTTGTGGCTGCATAGTATTCCATGGTATATATGTACCACTTTTTCTTTATACACTCTATCGTTGATGGACGTTTGGGTTGGTTCCAAGTCTTTGCTATTGTAAATTGTGCTGCAATAAACATACGTGTGCATGTGTCTTATAGTAGAATGATTTATAATCCTTTGGGTATATACCCAGTAATGGGATCGCTGGGTCAAATGGTATTTCTGGTTCTAGATCCTTGAGGAATCGCCACACTGTCTTCCACAATTGTTGAACTAATTTACACTCCCACCAACAGCGTAAAAGCGTTCCTATTTCTCCACATCCTCTCCAGCATCTGTTGTTTCCTGACTTTAATGCTCTCCATTCTAACTGGCTTGAGATGGTATCTCATTGTGGTTTTGATTTGCATTTCTCTAATGACCAGTGATGATGAGCTTTTTTTCATGTTTGTTGGGCACATAAATGTCTTCTTTTGAGAAGTGTCTGTTCATATCCTTTGCCCACTTATTGATAGGGTTGTTTTTTTCTTGTAAATTTGTTTAAGTTCTTCGTAGATTCTGGATATTAGCCCTTTGTCAGATGGATTGATTACAAAAATTTTCTCACACTCTGTAGGTTGCCTCTTCACTCTGATGATAGTTTCTTTTGCTGTGCAGAAGTTCTTTAGTTTCATTAGATCTCATTTGTCAATTTTGGCTTTTGTTGCCATTGCTCTTGGTGTTTTAGTCATGAATTCTTTGCCCATGCCTATGTACTGAATAGTATTGCCTAGGTTTTCTTCTAGGGTTTTTATGGTTTTAGGTCTTACGTTTAAATCTTTAATCCATCTTGAGTTTATTTTTGTATAAGGTGTAAGGAAGGGGTCTAGTTTCAGTTTTTTGAATATGGCTAGCTAGTTTTCCCAACACCAGTTATTAAATATGGGCCCAGGGAGGGGAACATCACACACCGGGGTCTATCGGGGGCTTGGGGGACAGACGAGGGAGAGCATTAGGAGAAATACCTAATGTAGATGGTGGGTTGGTGGGTGCAGCAAACCACCATGGCACATGTATACCTATGTAACAAACCTGCACGTTCTGCACGTGTATCCCAGAATTTAAAGTATAATAAAAAGGAATAGTTTTCAAAAAATAATTATATTTATTTTTCCACTACAAAATTCTTATTATATTTGTTCTTTACAAAGTACCAGAAGAATGAGAATAATCTTCCAATATGTTTTGTCCCATGTTGATAATAAAGTAGTAATTACTTCTAATGGGAAAATCCTACTTATTCCATATTGTGTGTAATACTAGTAAACTAATATATTTAGACACAGGATAAAGATGAACAAAGCAATATCCTATTCCAAAAAAAAAAAAGTGTAAGTATGCACTAAATTGTGAAACAAAGTAAAGAAATACATAGATGTAAAAGAAATATTGAAATATACTAAGAAAAAAACTCTTCTTTTTCTTTCCAGAGTGAAGTAACTGGCCCTCCCATAAATTCTAGGGAACCAGGCCAGAGTGTTTATTACTGGAAATGCACCAGCTTTGTGGAAGTTTCTGGAAAGGAATGTTGTGGAATTGGCGATTGAGTGAAATAGCTTTCTCTCCTGTCCCCTGGTTCACTGACTTGAACTAAGCCCAAGGCAAAAGTAAGAGGAGGTCTCTTATAATCTGTCAACTTCCTTCTCACTTAGGACCTTCCTTAAGGATTAAAAACTTAACTTTTAAACCAGAGTTCCCCTTTACCTCTCTGCCAGACCCAACTACATTAAGGGATTTGACGGGTCACCAATCCAGGAGGGTTATGCATGAGACACTTGGCTTCCACCCACCTATAGAATTTAATTTATGCCTGGATGGTTTGACTTTTTTTTCCCTCAATCACCCTCCTTTAACAAAGGCCAGTCAATGAGCTGAGTTTTGCTGTCTTCTGCTATTAGGACCATTTTCTTAAGATAGTAGTCCACAGACCATCACAATGAAGTGTGTTTGTGTCTATGAGTGTGTGCCTATGTGTGATATTCTTTCTTTTTTTTTTTTTTTTTTTTTTTACAGTATTTTATGTTTGTCTTGATCTGTAATAAATTAAAGTGGTCATGCTTTTCTCTAAGGATGACCTCCTTCAGCTTCACCCAAGAAAGTCTATTTATTGGGCAAATAGTTCTTAGCAGAGAAAGACTATATCTTCTTTATCAAGTTTGTGACAAAATTATTACCAGCTTCTCTGAGGTGGGTCTCTCCCCATGCTCATTCTTCCTACATAATCCTCTTAGATAATCTACCCAAAATATACTTTTTATTATGCCATTTCCTTGTACTACAACATCGGTAGTGTGTATTCTGTGGAACGGTAACAGGCATTTCTCAAGGGCAGGAATTCTATGATTTACTCTCTCTATATATATTATATATTATATGCATATCCCATATGCATATAGTATATTTACTATATACTCTGTGTGTGTGTGTGTGTGTGTGTGTGTGTGTGTGTGTGTGTATGCAGAAAGTTAAAGTCAACAAGCGTCTTTAGTAGGGAGGTCTTTTTAAATTTATTCTTCACGAATGAGCTGCATATATGGCATGTGAAGATTATCAGAGTGACCTAAATGCAGCATACTGAAAGAACAGTAGTCCTGAAAAACATAACTGTGGAAACTAACTGATAATTGCATTGCTTGCTTTCTTAATCATTTCAAACACCTCCACCTGCATTTCATGGTTCTTCACACTTTTAGACAGGTGTCTAACCATTAGTCTCATAAACTAGACACATAAAGGTCCAGGGGCAGCTGAAGTTACTGGAGAAGTGTGTGGTGCTCCTGGGTGTAGGAACTCCAGGGAAAATTAAAGAACTTGTTAAACAAGGTGTCCTTAATTTGAACCCCTTAAAGTTTCTGAGTTTTGACTGGAACTGGAGAGATCAGAAGTTGAGGAGAATGAGGAAAGTATTTGAACTTCTGGAAATGGGTGTGCTCAGTCTCTGAGAGTCAGAATCCTTGAAACTGGGCCTTTTCTAAGTCTGAGTTCTAATGAAGATTCCAATTTTCACAGTAAAAGTTAAAGAAAAAAAAGTCTAGAAAGGAGTGATTTAGAGATCCTTCTAGGCCTATATTTTTCCCATCTTATATTAATTGTAATTGGGTCAGTTAGAATTTGGTCTATTAAATAAAATGGTTTAATATTTTGAACTGTCCACCTATTCTTACATGCCATTTAGTAGTGCACTCAGATGCCTAAATTATCTACCAGGTTTTTTTCTGGCTCAATAATGCAACACTCCTATAGTCAGAAAACGATTATCATAATAATTTTAATCAGCACTAGAAAATTTAATACCTGAACGCAATGTAAACATTTTTGTTGTATTTATGTGTTAATTGTTTCCCTCTTTTCCACTAAACTATAGCTTCCTAAGGTCAGCGATCATATTTTACATCTATCCTTTACTCTCCATAGCTCTCAGTCAGGGTACTAAATGATTAATATGTCATTTAGGCTGATTGTCTTATTGACCAATTACATACCAATTAAATTAAGCTACCAGCAGTCATATTTCTGGCAACAATTATAGGACAGGGTAATCTCTGAGGTTTTATATTTATTGTGAATTTATTTCCATCCTCATTTGGACACCCTAGTGACTGACACACGACTGACTCCTATGGACCTACAAAAACACCTCAGTCCATTCCTTATTGATGTCTCTGACTACTCCATTCTCCATTTATCATCCTTTTTTTTTTACTCCATTGATCTTTCCTCTTCTCTCCAATCAAATGTACAGTGTTCACATACCAACCAACATGTTATCATTACAAAACATGCAAGAATAACAGTGCAAATATAATTGACATTCTGCCATGAAGTAAAGGCAAATATTGCCTTCTCTATCCTTCTAGTCAAAAGAATACTAGATTTGTTAGATTTTATCAATTATTTATTCATTAAAGCAGCATTCATGGAGAACGTAATGTGTTTTTAAGTTCATGCTTTGTGTTTTTAACTTTGATAAGAATAGAAACGTGACACGATCTCTGGTGCCAACAGGTTCATAGCCTACATCTTACTACTAAAACTTGTATCAATAGAACTCCTTTTAAAAGAAATGTTTTTGGCCACCTTTAGTATTGCCTGAAGTTAGTTTCATTATAATGTAACTTAAATACATCTAGACAAAGAACAAGTTATACATTCCTTATACTTATTCATTCAGTACATGTCCATTTATTGAGAGCTTACTATAGTTCAGGTACTGGGAGTATCACAGTGACAAGGGCAGACAAAACCCCCCTGACTTCACAAACTGTTTATTCTGGTGGGAAGAAACTGTGTGGAAACCAAAGAAACAAATATAGTTAATTCTCTTTTTTCGCCCAAGCTGGAGTGCAGCAGTGTGATCTCAGCTCACTGCAACCTCCGCCTCCTGGGTTCAAGCGATTCTCCTGCCTCAGCCTACCGAAGCAGGAGATTACAGGCGTGTGCTACCATGCCTGGATAATTTTTTTTTTTAAGTGGAGACAGGGTTTCACCATGTTGGCCAGGCTGGTCTGGAACCCCTGACCTCAGGTGATCCACCCACCTTGGCCTCTCAAAGTGCTAGGATTACAGGGGTAAGCCACCACACGCAGCCAGTTAATTCTTGTTATATACAACAGTTGTATTCTATAAAGTTGCCACAAACGCTAAATTGACAAATACTAAATGAACCATTGCTTCTGAGGGAGATAGTGGATTTGGTTCCTATGAGTTTCTGGTTACAACATTTTTATCAACCTGTGAATACATGATCTTCTTGGATGTGTGATTCTGTTTAAAGACACTTGATTTAATATGTATCGTTGGTTCATTGACATTGGGATCCTTAGCCAGTAGCTCATGCCTGAAGGAAGCTTGTTTAACACACGTATTTTTCCAGTAGGGCACATCACAGCCTTCTGGCATGTAGGAACACTAGACAGCACTTCAGCACTATGCTTGGGGCCATTCTAAACAGCGAAATCGGAAAAAAAAAATGCAAAAACCATGGCACCAAATAGACTACAACAAAAATAAAAGATATTTGTTTACAATATGAGAGCTGAAACAAGAAAGGAGTGTAGTCTTATTCTGTCTCAGCTGGGAACAGGTATATCAGGGGACTCAAATTTTTGCCACTCTTTGCTTATTCATGATCTAGGAATATTTATTTTGGGGTTACAAATAAATTTCAGAAAGTAGGAGAATTTGCAACCATGGAATCCATGAAAAATGAGGAATGATTGTGTATAATAAAAATGGATCGGATAGTAATGAATGTTGCCAAAAAAATGAAACAGATCTGGAAACTGATGGAGATTTGGGAGAACTATTTGAAGTGGGTGACTAGGACAGTCTGCCCTGAGGAGGGGACACTTCCATAAATATGAATCTTGAAAAGTAGTTAGCCCTGTGAAGGTGGAGGACAGAGGGAGCGAGTGTGAAAGTCTGTGAATCAGGAGCAAGCTTGACTTGGCTTGTGTGAGGAACAGGACAGAGGTCTTCATGCTTGCAACAACAACAACAAAAAACTGAACCGACAGAAGATGAGCTTGAAAAGCTAATCAGGGGTGAGACAATGTGTGATCTTTTTGGCCTACTAAGTGGTTTAGACTCTGTTCTAAAGGGTAATGAGAAGCCACTGAGGGGTTTAAAATATATTTGAGCTATAGCTTATTAGATAATTTTACAGCCCTCCCCCAAAGTTTACAAATCAAATTTACCCCCAAACAATACCATTTAAATGAATCACATTAACTTAATGTGACAAGTGATGCTTCACTGAAGCTAAAGTTCTGTTCACAGTGTGACTATTGGGCTGACTTCCCTGGTGCAGGTTCTTCCCAGTTCAGCGGCCTTCGTGACCCCTGTGTGGATGATGGCTCCAAGAACCACCCTCCTGTGGCACAAATCCATCATTACATATTAATGGTTCCTGGGTGTGGTCTCTTCCCTGAAGTCTGTCACGACTGTAGCAAAGACACTCCAGCAGGCCTGGAGTCCTACATACATGGTTATAAGGCAGCAGGAAGCAGGCGATCCCTAGCATGGTTTTTTGACTCTCACCTAAAGGAAAACATAAAATAAATGTTTCCATTGGAGAACTCATAGATACCCCACAATCCCTCCAGAAGGAAACCCACATCCCTGCAAATTGTTTGAAAACCTTGCTCTCACAGAGGATTATTAGGGCAGTGAAAGTATTCTGTATGATGCTGTAATGGTGGATACGTGTCATGATACATATGTCCAAACTCATAGAATGTACCATACCAAGTGTGAACCCTGATGTGAACTATGGAGTCTGGATGACAATGATGTGTCAGTGTGGATCCATCAGCTGTAACAAATGCACCTCTCTGGTGGGAGATATTTACAATGGGGGAGGCTGTGCATGTGTGGGGGAAAGGAGTATATGGGAAATCTCTGTATACTTTCTATTTAATTTTGCTGCAAACCTAAAACTGCTCTTAAAAGTGAAGTCTAAAAAAAAAAAAAAAAAACCCTTACTGTACATGCAAAACTAAATGACACTTCAGTAATGAAGGAAGAATATATTTAAAAACTATAACACCATAAGACAGACACCAAGGCAGCCCCAAAATGGAACACCGGAAAAGAGGTCAGAAAACAATGGCTGAGGCCTGGAGGAAAGGAGACATCCCTGTGTGTTCTGTCAGTGTTTGAGAGGGGATTGTGGGGTGAGGGAGGACTTTATCTGGATGGCGAGATCAGACCCTATGCGAGGAGAGAGAATAGTACATTCTCTAAGAGCAGAAAGCAGCATGAACAAAGGCTTGGAGACCAGAATGTATTCAGTGTGTGGAGGAGACGGTGAATGCAACCGACTGGCTGGAGCAGAGGGTTTTAATTAAGGAGCGACGGGGAAAACACACTTGGAACGCCTGGTCCTGCCATTTCAGCACGAATCTGCCCAGTGGGATCAGATGGTGGTATTCATAGCCCTGGACTGTCTTGTTACAGTGCTGGCTGTGGGATCTGTAGCATGGAGGTACTTTCTCAATGTAGCTATTTGTACTGAGCCTGTCACTAGCTCGGTGAGAGGTGGAAATTACTTGACAGTCTCTCCGGGCTCTCACCCATCCAAAGCGTGAGAGAGAGTGGGGAGTGTCAGAGTGGGTGGGCGGTGGGGAAAGTGAATTCTTAAGAACTAGAGCTTTCAGTGAAGGAGAATAAAGGGCATGAGGAGGCTTACCCAGAGTTGGGCGGCAGTCATGCCAGGCAAGCAGGCCCCCACAGTGGAATCTCTGAACCCTCACACTTCCCAATAGTGAACCCTTCACTCCCAGAGTGCTTGATTTGGTATGGAAAAAGAGTCTCTCTCTCTCTCTCTCTCTCTCTCTCACACACACACACACACACACACACACACACACTCCAATGTATCAAAAATCACTTTGGAATTTTAAATCTCAGCTGATGACCTTTCTCAGAATAAAAAAGTCGCATTTTCGTTCTATGGGTTCCCTATTAAATTGCAAATGTAGACTATTTGGCATGTGCAGTTCACCCATTTAAACCCCTTTGACTTTGTAAGGCGGGGTGATAACATTTTGGATTTCATGTTTGTTTGTCCTATAAGAGTCTTGAGCTTTAGCCAAAAACCCAGGCCTTGGAGGAGTGTGCTTTAGACCTCACTTTTTGTCACGAAGCCAAGTGGACTTGGGAGAGAGGGTGGAGCGGTCTGTTGAGACATGATTTTTAGTTTTGCCCTTCGCCTCTGGAGCCAGGGCCCTGGCCCACGTCCAGCCGCACAAAGAGATGATGGTATTTTCTAGGTAATTTTAAGGAGCACAAACCTAAAGTAAAGTCAGGTGGTTTCAAGTCTGCACTGAATTTTTCATGTTAAGGATTTACCATGATTTGGGTTTTCAGCAGAGCTGTATTTTAAATGATGAAGGGAGCTGTATTCCCGTATTCTTCTGGAGACAGGCATGTTTTGGTTGCTTGCTAATGACCTCTGGTTTTGCTTATGGAGAGTTTTGTTAACAAATGGAAATTTAGCAAAATAGAATATTTTCTTTCTTTTTTTTTTTTTTCTTTTTTTTTTTTTTTTCTAAACAATGGGAACCCTCGCAGTAAACTGTCAAAACCAGGCTATGGATATTGGTTATTGTAGCATCATTAATACTGTGTAAAGATAAGTTAG